CCTCAGGCAGAAAAGCATCTCTGCAGTGGGTGGCTGTCAACGCAGAGGTGCATGAGAGGTCAAAGTGCTGAAAATAAGTGACTATTGAATCCTCACCGCTACATGGAACATCCATGTCAACTGCCCACCCACGGCTCAGGGACCACCTTCACACAAGGGGCCAGAAAGAATGTCAGAACCTAATGATGGGGAAAGTCATTGTACTTCACGACCTATGCAGCTATGATTTCTCCCACAAGATCAAGTGAAGAAGACAGGTCAACATTCGGTGTCAGCCATAATTGGACTCACTCAAAAACAGAGAATGAGGGAGAGAACAAAAATAAACAGTAGAGGAAATAACCCTGGAGGGAGACGTTCTACAGGCACATGGGTAAGTTGCATGGGGCAACTTAACAATGCATATGAAGCAGAGAGGATTGTCACTTGAATGGAAATTAAAGAGTATAAAGAAATTCTACATACAAAACATTAATTTATAAAAAATAAAACAACTTGTATTATGTGAATTAGGTGAATTTCTTTGAGCAGAAAGATAGGTATTATACATGTTCTCAGATAAAATTAATCCTAGATGTAATTTTCATATACGTGTGTGAGGTCATAGTTCATAACAGTAGACAGTTGAGACATGAAAATTACATCCCAAACAGTAGAAAGAATAAAGAATAATGGAAAAAATGTCATGTGAAATGAAAGCATGAAATTGTTGATTAGGAGGACAAAAGTGATGGTGAGAGAGGACGAAGAAGAGGGAGGGCAGTGAGAGAGGGATCAAAAACAGGAAGTGTGTAGGAACATGCAATACAGAAAGTATTAAAGTTTTAAAACTTATTTTAAAAGTGAATATATTAGGTCTGATCATCACGTCCTGGTGGGTGTCACGAGCAAGGGCAATGGCCAGTGTGGTTTGCGGGGCTATGGGAGCCTAAGTCAATTGCTTCTGAAAAATGATTGCATTGCATTGGGTTCTTTCCCATCCTATGGTTTCTAGTAGGGGCAATGTGCACCTGTTATGAGTTATCAACTTTTGATATGTGTTAAAAATGTATGTCAGTATACATTTAGAAGCTTCTATACTGGTGGGGTGAGAGAACCCTCTGAATACTTCCTCCTCTACCCTGCCCTCCCTTCACATCCACATTGAACCCTTCCTATGTTGGGAATTGTGCCCTCACTAAGTCAGAAGCAGTAATCACATATGTGTTCGTCGTTTGAAAAATAGTGGCAGGCGTTTGTACGATGATGAAAGTACAGAAATATGAAAAGTTGCCCACTTGTGTCAGGAAGCAATGTGGCTCGAGTTTCTCGGAAGAACCGGGAGATATTACTGTTATGGATGAGGTGCACGTTACTCTTCTGCCTGGACAGGTTATAAACCATGGAGCTTCTGGTTCAGAGCACGAGGCTCCAGTACAGGTTATCAATGATGCAAAACAAAGTTTCTCTTAATAAACAACAGAAGATTGGATCTGCTAGAGCTGAAGATTTATAGTCAATTGCCCTGAGAAGGGTCTTAAAAATGCTCTAGCAGAAGGAGCTGCTGCAAGACACCTCCCCCCCCCCGAGAGAACTTATAAGACATCACCCAACATTCCTGCCAAGTTCACAAGGAAGAGTAAAATCTAAAACTGTAATTTTGCTCTGGCACATTTCTCAAGAGAATGAACACAAAATTGCCATAATTGATAGGTAAAAAGTTGCCGGAGAATGAACGGATAGAGGAGAAAGCACCAGAACACAGATTAAACTCCATCAGAGTAGAGTTTTTTAGCAAAGAAACACATGGGAGATATTCCCTTCCGGGCAGGAAAAATGTCTGCCCCAGGTCGTGATCTGGTGTCTTTTAAAGGGAGAGGCTTCTGCTTCCTGCAGAAGGCAGGAAGATGTTTTTTTCTTTTTTTTCAAGTTCGGTGGGGAAAAGTAGGAGAGCAGGAGTTAAAACCTGTCCCTTTTAGAGATCAAAGGGGAAGCCTGCTGTGTTGGCCAAACCTTGGAGAAAAGCCTGCTTCTCTTGACCTTAAAAACCAAGGTGCTTAACAACTCAGTTCCCTTTTCTCAGGGGCTTGAAAAATCCAAAGTCTGTGAGAGCCTGTTGGAGACAGGGAGGGCTGCTGCAGTTTGAAAACCTAATAATAATCATGTGACTGAAAATGGAAGCAATGTATTTGGGACATCCAAAACGACATACATGTCATTGTTGAGATCCACATGGACCAAATTGTTTGAATAGTAGCACAAAAAACCCCACTCCACTCCAGATGTACCTCAGACTCTCAAAGTCATGCTTGGATTCATACCTGGATAGCAACTCAGAGAACCCAAACACAGCTGAACACCTTCAGATCCCATGAAACTTCATATACAATGGTGCATAAGGCAATCTGTAAATTCATGGATGGCAGTTTGGCTGAAGTATGTGTAGGAAAAGCAAATTATTAACTAGAATAGGTATCAATTTCAGTAAGCATAGTGGAGTGCACCATTTCTCTGATGGTGTAGACAACCAATAATAGTGTTACTGTCTGGTCTCAGTAGACAATGGTCCAATTTGGGACTCTGAATGATGAAATTCGCTGTGTATAGTTTAGCACAAAGCTACAGCTGTTGTCACATCAGTCTTGATCTATAGAAAACCATGTCGATGAGCTTATTCGTGAATTCTATGTCTGTCACTATTGCCAGTTTGTTCATGGGCTCTTTGAAAGTGAAATGAATGGTGACGGGATGAAATTGATTAGTAAGAACTGGTAACTCTATTTACCTGTTTAATGAAATCTTGTGGTGAGTTCATTTTTTAAAGAGCATTTACATGGGACATAATTATCTTAATATCTTTTGTCCAGCTGAAGTGACAAACATCAAATGTCTTTCTATTCAATTTGCCAAGTATGCTCCTTCAAAGTCTCTGAAACCAATGGTTGAGCTCATGAATCAGTAAATAATCACAATTCTGTGCATTTCTATTTCCAGAAAAATGCATGACCATGAACACTGCTTAAAATTATGATCACTCTGAAGATTACCTTCACGATTCTCCTTCAGAAATGTGACAGAACAGAAACATACTAAAAAGATGCAAATCTCCATTTGTGACTCATAGCTGCATAGCATGTAAGATCAGAGATGTCTGCACTAATGGTTCCCTGTAAACCATGTTAAGACACTGGAGTACAGAATTAATATATGGTTGATATGGAAGAGAAAAAGCAGTAATATTAGATTTGACACGTGAAAGAAAATTTCTAGTGCTCCTTATGAACATGTAAGGTGATAAAGCATTTGCAATACTATTAACATTACACGAGTTCCTATTGGTATGTTAATTAGCTCAAGTAAGAATAACAGAGCTTGCACCTTAGCTGAAATTAGATTCATGGATTACATATAAAATAAATATGTCTACACAAATATATGGTTATACATCCATCAATATTCTGCACAGGCCAACTAGGACTCCTACAGTGAGATGTTGGTATCTCCCACCCCCCTGCATCTTTCAAATTCTGAATAGTGGCAATGTTCTTCACAATCCCTCCAGGAATGCAGGGTGATTTGGGGTCATATTTTCTCTGATACAGGAGCTTTGATCACTTCCATTCTGATTTTCAAACCACAATAACCCTCTGTTCAAAAGCCAAGGAACCAATGCAAGGATTATGACAAATTCTAAGACTATTTATATAAATTATGGACTCTGAAAAAGCTACAGGGTGAAATTAGGCACACATTGTTAACCTGAGTCAGACATTGAGTGCAACTCCATTGATGACGTCAACTCCATATGCACTGGCATTATGTGTAGAGAAATCAGTCTGTCTGGAGTCTGATAGAAACAGTCTCTATTCAAAGACAGTATGAAAAAAGCGACAAAAGCCTGAGTGTCTACTTTTCCCCAATGCACACTTGTCCAACTTAAAGGCTATATTTTGGGAAGAGAAATGGAAAAGTACTTGATGTTGTAGCATGATACATTAAAACACACTATGGGGGCTGGAGAGATGGCTCGACACTTAAGAATACTAGCTGTTATTGCAGAAGAACAGGGTTCGAATCCCAGGCAACTTGACAGATAACAACTCCCTGTAACTGTAGTTCCAGGGGATCAGACACCCTCTTACAACATCTGTGGACATTGCACGACAGAGTTGCACTTACATATATGCAGGCAATACATGCATACACATAAAATAAAAATGATAAAAACTTTTAAAAACATAAAAACACACTGTGCTATTTTGTAAGTGTAACTTGAGTTCTCAGTGATATTCACCACAATTGGATGGGAAAGCGAAGGTGTTCTCACTTTTTTTATGTTGCTAGCTCTTCATATATTTGAATTAATAAATTTTGATTAGCAATTTTGCACTTAATTCTAAGTTTTCGTTCAGTTCAATGCACTATGAAGTTTTGTAATATATAAATATAAGTGTTTCAAAATTTTCCAGACTTTTAGGCATATCCCTTTAGTACGAATGCTATTTCGTATTCTAAGGATTGAGTCCAGGGTAAAGGATGTACCACATTCTGAGCAATTGTAAACTATCTCTTTAGTATGAGTTTTTGATAATTGCTGCCTTTTGACATGATTAAAGGAAGAGCCACATTCTTTATACTGCAGTGTCTCCCTTTATTATAATTTCTTTGATGTTCTCTAAGAGTTGAAATACAAGGAATGGACTTCCCAAAACATTTTCATTTGTGAGGTTTCTCTTAAGTGTGAATTCTCTGGTACCTTCTTGTGCTGAGTGCTCAGTTGGTCACATTCATCTTACCAGAATGGGTACTTTCCAGTATGAATTCTCTGATGAAATATTAAATCTGACATACAACTAAAGGACTGGTCACAAGCTTCACATTTGTAGGGTTTCTCTCAAATGAAAATGCTGATGTCTTCTAAGAATTGACCGTCCACTAAAGGACTTGCCACATTCTTCATATCTGAAGGATTATCTCTCCAGTATGTATTTGCTGATGTAATCTAAGATGTGAGCTTGATGATGTCCTCTAAGACTTGACCACTGACTAAAGGACTTGCCACATTTTTCACATTTGAATGGTTTCTCTCTGGTATGCATTCAGTGATGTAATTGAAATATTGACATATGAGTAAAAGCCTTGGTACATTCTTCACATCTGCAGGTTTTTCTCCAGTACATATATGCTGCTGTCTTCTAAGAATTGACCATTTACTGAAAGACTAGTCACATTCTTTACATTTGTATCGTTTTCTCCAGAATGTATTTGCTAATGTAATCTAACATGCGATATTTGACTAAAGGAATTGCCACATTCTTTACATTTCTAGGGTTTCTCTCCAGTATGTATTTGCTGATGTAATCTGACATATATCATTTGACTAAAGGACTAGCCACATTCTTCACATCTGTAGGGTTTCTCTCCAGTATGTATGTGCTCTTGTCTTCTATGATTTGACCATTTACTAAAGCACTTTCCACATTCTTCACAACTGTAGGGTACCTCTCCAGTATGTATTCGCTTACGTACTCTAAGAACTGACATCTCAATAAGGGACTTGCCACATTCTTCACATCTGTAGGGTTTCTCTCCAGTATGTATTTGCTGATGTCTTCTAAGATGTGACCGTTTACTAAAGGACTTGCCACATTCTTCACATCTGTAGGGCTTCTCTCCAGTATGTGTTCACTGATGTACTCTCAGTTGTGACATTTGATTAAAGGACCGTTTACTAAAGGACTTGCCACATTTTTCACATCTGAAGGGTTTCTCTCCAGTATGTATTCGCTGACATAATCTAAGATGTAACCTTTCACTAAAGGACTTCCCACATCCTTGACATCTGTAGGGTTTCTCTCCAGTATGTGTTCGCTGATGTACTCTAAGATTTGACACATAACGAAAGGACTTGCCACATTCTTCACATCTGTAGGGTTTCTCTCCAGCATGTATTCGCTGATGTGCTCTAAGATTTGATAGTTGACTAAAGGACTTGCCACATTCTTCACATCTGTAGGGTTTTTCTCCCGTATGTATTCGCTGATGTTTTCTCAGATTTGATATACGACTAAAGGATTTGCCACATTCTTCACATTTGAAGGGTTTCTCTCCAGTATGTATATGCTGATGTTTTCTAAGAATTGACTGTCTACTAAAGGACTTGCCACATTCTTCACATCTGAAGGGATTCTCTCCAGTATGTATTCGCCTATGTAATCTAAGATGTGACCTTTCACAAAAGGACTTCCCACACTCTTCACATCTGTAGGGTTTCTCTCCAGCATATATTCGCTGATGTACTCTAAGACTTGATATTTGACTGAAGGACTTGCCACATTCTTCACATCTGTAGGGTTTCTCTTCAGCATGTATTTGCTGATGTCTTCTAAGATGTGACCGTTGACTAAAGGACTTGCCACATTCTTCACATCTATAGGGTTTCTCTCCAGTATGTATTCGCTGATGTACTCTCAGATTTGATATTTGACTAAAGGATTTGCCACATTCTTCACATTTGAAGGGTTTCTCTCCAGTATGTATATGCTGATGTCTTCTAAGAATTGACCGTCCACTAAAGGACTTGCCACATTCTTCACATCTGAAGGATTTCTCTCCAGTATGTATTTGCTGATGTAATCTAAGATGTGAGCTTTCACAAAAGGACTTCCCACACTCTTCACATCTGTAGGGTTTCTCTCCAGCATGTATTCGCTGATGTACTGTAAGATTTGATATTTGACTAAAGGACTTCCCACATTCTTCACATACGTAGGGTTTCTGTCCAGTATGTATTCGCTGATGTGATCTAAGATATGACATTTGACTAAAGGATTTGCCACATTCTTCACATCTGAAGGGTTTCTCTCCAGTATGCATTTGCTGATGTACTGTAAGATATGACACATGATGAAAGGACTTGCCACATTCTTCATATTTGTGGGGTTTCTCTTCAGTATGACTTCCCTGCTGTAATTTGAAACTTGACATCACAGTAAAGGACCTGTCACATTCTTCACATCTGTAGGGTTTCTTTCCAGTATGAATAGTTTCATGACGCCTAAGATTCGAGGCCTTGGTGAAGCACTTATCACATTCTTTACACTTGTATGGCGTCTC